CCCAGCACCCCGCACCCAGACCAACCCCCCCATCCCCCCACCAAAACCAAAATTTTATTGCAGATTCGGGGTCCTCTCGCCGAGCGCAGAACAACCCCGGTTTCCAAAAAAAAAAAAAAAACTCTGGGCGTTTTTTTGTCCTGCCCGGTTTACCCGGGCGGGCCCCCAGGGCCCAACCGGGCAGGCCCGTCCGGGCGGCGTCCTCACTCAGGTTTAAAGGTGGTTCAGTTATTTTCTTTTTCATCTCTGGTTACATGAGAAATTCTAATGTGACCCTCAGCCAAAAGTCGTTTGTATTGCAATTCTACAAATCATTTTTTTTTTCCCCGGATGTTTTTTTTTTGCGCTTCGGCTGCCTGGAACCCTGCCGGGGGGTCATGCCCGGCCGGGCACCCGGGCATGAGTTGGGCGCCCGGGCGCCCGGAAAAACAGCCAGGCTGCCTAGCCGAAAAAGACAATTAAAAAAAGGCAAAAAAAAAGGGAACAAGAAAAGGAACACGCCTGGCATTGAGATATCACCATTGAACTGACGGGCCCATGGTATTCAGGACTACGCCTGACTGCAATTACAGGCCGAGCTGGATGAATCGGTCCGCCATCACGTCCAGAGCATAGTATTGAAAGTTATGGTGTGAGTATGCCCTGAGCACCTGCTGTTTTCGTTTCTTTCCCCCTCGTTTTCTTCAATGAAAGGAAACAGCCTTGAGATACCATCATTGAACTGACGGGCCTGTGGTACTAAGGACTACGGGCCCGTGGTACTGAGGACTACGGGCCCGTGGTACTAAGGAGTCAGGACTACGCCATTCTGTTCATCTACTCCATGGATTTGAATTTTGAACTCCGGCTGGGGCGATACATGAGTGAAAACAAAATAAGAAAATGGAGATATGGCCTCGTTTTTGGTAGATATGGCGGCAGGAGGTCCAGCACTTTGGTTTTCACAGAGGCCTGTACCAGTGCCACCCATACTTTCCCAAGGCAAAATAGGTCTGGGTAAACTGGTGTTCAAACCACCTAGTACCTTTGCCGAGTGGACAAATAGCGGGCCTCGGGTGGGCCTCCGACCTTTTAGGCGGCCGATACGAAAGCACGGCCGCCGATGAGATTTATCAATGGCAACCGCCATCGGGCCCGGCTTCCAATTTTTTAGGGGTTTGGGAAAACTGCCAGTTTTCTCTATTTTCCTAGTGCTTTAAGACAACTCCCATGTAGGTCCCATGCCTAATACTTGACAAAGCACAATGAAAAAACTTCGCAACAAAACAGATGCAGGAATCTGGAAAAAAATTCCCATAACACTAATAACAGTAAATAATTGAAATAACCCATGCCATATGTGTCGTGGAACTGAGGGCCTCAGAAGGCCTACTTGGCCGCCCTCAGCCCAGGCCGAATAAGGGCAGAAAAGGCGCTTCACGAAATCAGGGCCTGGGCGTGTGACAGTTGACTTTGGTCAACTGTCGGTCCACCCAACAGTCAAATCCAAAGGTACCTAGCCCAGGCCGCAGGTCAAGCACACACACTTGTTTGTATGCAGGTACCCAGACAGCATCAAGTCCAAGGGAGAAGTCTGCAACTGCACAATCCGGGCCTTCAGCTGTGAGTCAATCTGGACGACTGAGGGGAAATACACCGAGGCCAGACAGCCTCGCTGACATGACATGACCTCGAGTGAGTCAAGCAGTCAGTCTGGCCATGCTGCTTTGACGCTGGCTCGGCTTTGACAACGCTGGCTTCATGCTGGCTGTGCACACGCATTGCGGACGACGGCACAAGGTGGAGGCGGCATGCTGGTGCCTCTTCGATGCACTATGGCATGCTATCGTGGTGCTGCCTCTGGTCTACGTGGCATGCTGACGTGGCACTGCCTCTGGTATATGTGGCGCGGCCCTTGTCTATGTGACATGCTGAGGTGGCGCTGCCTCCAGTATATGTGGCACTGCCTCTGATCTACGTGGCATGCTGACATGGCGCTGCCTCCGGTATACGTGGCGCTGCCTCTGGTATACATGGCGCTGCTCCTGTCCTACGTGGCGCTGCTATTGGTCTTCATGGATGATGTGACATATGCCACCTGTCTTGATTGCTGACATGGCATTGTCCACGCTGTCTACATGAGGTGACTGGTTGCGAGGAGAAGGAAGATCGGGATCTGTGGATGTAGGGAATCAGGTACTCACCTGTGGTTGACGTCGTCACTGGACATCTGCGGTGACCTCAGAGTCTTCATGAGATAAAGTGCCACGTGGCACTATTGTGTGTGATCAAGAATATACTTATTATCATTGATGAAGTGATGTGGAAAGAAGCCCGAAGAAGGAGAGGGATCTGAAGGGTTATTTGTGATCTCTCTTCCTCTCCTTTGTCTATTCTCCCTCCACTCTCTTCTCTTTTTGATATCGAGTTACTGTTTGATATACCACTTCATAATCTGGAGACTTCCATGCAGATATTGAATCTACAGTGGATTGTCAGGAAGGCAACAGAGAAATTTCAAGGAGGGAGTAACCATAGCCAGTACCTATCAGACTGGGTTCATTACATAATACTGAAAAAGATAGAGATAGAACCTTTTTAAAAACTTTAAGTTGAAACAGAGGAAGATTTGTCAGGAAGGCAACAGAGAAATTTCAAGGAGCCTCACTTCATTACGACGATGTAAACTCCAGCGAGTACCCATGTGACAAAGATAAGCACCCATCCAAGAATGGCCAGCCTGCCCATCAAAACAGCATATAAACAGGGAAAGAAAACATAAAACAGGTCAAATTCTACTGTGACTAATCAGAACATAGAAACTTATTCCATCCTGTGAGAGCTCTTTTAACAAACTTCCGCACAATTCTAGGACCTGGTAGGGCCAGGCAAAATCGACTTGGCGAAGTACCACAGTAGTGACAATCTTTACTTAGTTTTTCAATCATAAGGTTTGGGATTTACGGCAAGAAGCAGCAGCGGTTTGGGATTTACGGCAAGAAGCAGCAGCACCAATTCTTTTTACAGCGTACAAGGAGGGAGTAACCATAGCCAGTGCGTTCTGGCACGCTACTGCGTGGTTTTCAAAACCGTTTTTGGTGGGCTGCTCAAGCCAGCCAGGCGCTTAAGTCATGAAGCGTGCTCCTGTGATAACTCCAATACAAGTTCGTTGTGAAATTTCCTACCAACTGTGACTTGCTCTCAAAGGAGTTTACAAGAGTGATGGGGGTTGAAATTGTTTGGACTCTGGAAAACCGCAACAAAGTTACGTCAAGTGAGATGGACAGATGGACGTGCCAATGGATTAACTGATAGACCGGCCAAGCAACTGACCGAGCGAGACAGACCAACAGATCGACCGAGCGGCCGAGCAACCGACCGAGTGACCGACCAACCGGCTGAGCGACTGATGGACAGACAGACGAAAATACAGACAAGCCACAACCAGCGACCAACTAACCGACTGTGCGACTGACGGACTGACGGACAGACGGACAAACATACAGACCAGCCTCCCAACCCCCAACTCAAAAACCACTCTTCGCACATAATTATGACCTCCTGAAGTTGAGAAGAGGTGACAGATTCATCAGAGAGTCAGAATCATTTGCAAAGGATCATGATTCACACATTACTACCCCGAGAAGGTAAAGCTCTCCTGCGACCTTAAACATGAAATCTGTTTCCCACCTAAGCCGACCTGTCACATTCTTTTCATTGCGAACGAGTCCAGGCAAGCGCGTGCATCCACAAAACGGCGGTTGTGCCAACCTGCACACATTGCTTGCAGACTGGTGGTTTGGACAAAAGAGAGGGAGGGGAAGGAAAAAAAACAGCAATCCCCTTGAGAACTCTCCACAGACGTTGCCTTCACCACCACACCTTGTCAAAAAGGTTGACAAACAAGACAGGACACTCACACGCGTATGCAGTACTTCCACGCCAGCAATGTAAAGACTGCACAGTGCACACACAAATAGGATAAAGTCAGTTTTTACTCTGCTCCCTTGGTTATCGAGTGTATTGCTTGATATTTTGATTTCCGAATACTGTAAGCAATAACCTCTCTCTCTCTCTCTCTCTCTCTCTCTCTCTCTCTCTCTCTCTCTCTCTCTCTCTCTCTCTCTCTCTGTGTGTGTGTGTGTGTGTGTGTGTGTGAAGCACAATTTAACTGTCATCTCAAGAATCAAAACGCTGGCCTCCCTTCTCCCTCCTCCCCATGATTCATCTCTCTCTCTCTCTCTCTCTCTCTCTCTCTCTCTCTCTCTCTCTCTCTCTCTCTCTCTCTGTGTGTGTGTGTGTGTGTGTGTGTGTGTG